CTTCAGTGACACCTGAGCACAAGGAGAACTGCAAACTAAGGATGGAATCCAGGTTTCTGAGTTCTTCCTCATTAGCTTCAATCATTGTATTCTCTTCCTGGTACTTGTGCTGTGGATTAGCAGAGTTCAAACTACAAAGTGACAGCTTACACTATTTATTTTCTGCTATGATCTATTTTTCCACTTCTGGGGTATCAGGAAAAATGTGCACTTGTTCCTGCCCTGGTAATAAAGCTCCAGTTCCAATACATTCACTTTCCTGGGTCATCCCAACAGCAGAGAAATACTTTTGCTTGAGAGACAGGAGCACCTTCTCTCCTATGAGTCAACTCCCAGCTTCCAAAATCCCTTAATATACAGGAGTATTTGAAGTGAAATTTTCACATGCCCAGGAATATAGATTTCATAACACAAAAATCATGTTAGTGAGCCTTGAAAGTTCTTTGAAAGAAATCTTTAACCTTCCTTACTGAACACCCAATGCAGAGATACAGACTTTAGGGATAGGACAACAATCCATCAGTTTCAGAAGCTATCTTGGAAGAGTCAGCCTCATCATGAAAGTGTCTCTTAAGTCACAGCAGGAACTGCAGGACACAAATCATTCCACTTATGCTATTACTATCAGTGCATTTTTGTTGAAAATGCTTATGACTGGTATGGCATGATCTGTTTCTCACTCATTTCTGTAAGAGTTAGATCAGACTTTAAATACTCTCTTCAGCTGCAACAAAAGGAGACACTGGATATGTGTAACAAAGTCACTGGCCATGGTGGGGGGCTTGGAATTATGTGATACTTAAGGTCTCTTTCAGCAAAACCATTCTGTGATTCTCTGGATAACACACAGGCATCAATCATGCAAGTATGAGAACTTAATCCTCAGAGTCTTGCACAACAGGTTTTATCATCTAAAAGCAGACTATCCTACGCTTTTGTGTGGGAGCTTGCAATTTGTTCACTGAAAACCTAATTCAGCAGTATATACAAACACAAATTTAAAAGTTTTGGTAGAATGAGCTATAAGTAGTATTAAATATGAAATGAATTATGAAATACAAGTGATTATATTCACCCACAAAGGAGTTTTGTAAACCACCCTACCCAGATATATATACAGCTGGCATGAGGAACAGGATTTATGTGATTCTCACTCCCTTTTCACAGCATTATGACCATTTATTTTTAAATATTGGACAAAACAAAAATAATAACAAGTAATGCCTTTCTGGACAGTGTCCCCTGCACAAAGTACTACCAGTGAATGGCAGTTGTATAAGTATATTTGGATTTCTCCAGATTTGGAGCAAAATGCCACACTGCAATACTGTATGCACATTGAGGTATCAATTATTAATTCTGTTGTCTTGTGTGAGGCACTGGCTTTTCATTTGCAGGAAGCTGAATCAGTTTATGTTTCTTTCCAGCTGAACAGTGGGATTTCTACATCTTTCTGTAACACAGGAGAAAGAAGCAGAGAGAACCAAGGACTATCAGAGACATAAGGTAAGGAAGCTCCATATTGTGTCTGGAGAACTAGATTTCAGACTGAATAAAACTTCATTTTCCATCTACAGTACTAGAATAGTTAACCTCTAAAGATTTCTTACCTACACTCCCATCAAAGAGTGTAAAAGCAAAGATATCCTGGCTGTTGTCCAAATTAATGAACTTTGGCAGTAAACACTACTGATTCTCAAGAGACTGTGGGTGAAAAACATATGTTAAAAAATACCAGCAGGTGTACATCAATGGCTATTTTTTAATTATGAGCCTTAGTAGCATGTGGGTTTGTCAGGGGAACTGGAAAGCTGAAGAAGAAACTGCAATGTTGTTACAAAATAAATGCATTTTTGCTACAGCATCTCAGGATGCTTTTGGAAATATTTTGTCCCACTATGAACACAACAGAAAACTGCATTTGCAACAAAGCAGTCTGAAAGTGAGACTTTCTGATGTGAAGATTAAGTGGTTTGCAAATTTTTGCAAATTACTCAGCAACAAAGAGCATCATGCAAAAGTTAAGATTACCTAGGGAGACCTGTGCCTGTGAAGACACTCTGTCAAATGCAGTTAATAAGCAGACCAATGCAATCTTGATTCAAGCGTGGCAGAGCCATTATAGAACAATTAAATTAGCAACACTGATTCAGTTATGTTCCCTTTTCTGAGAGCAGTGCTCAGTGGTGGAATCCCTCATAGAGAGCTGACAACAAAGGCATGATGGGACCATTTGAGAGGAGCTATTGCAAGAGCTCAGCACCCGGGGAGAGTCTGAGGGTGTCTCTGAGAAACTTACTGTAACTGCAGGGTTGGCCCTGCTTTGAACTGAGTGAACTCCAGAGGCTTCCTCCAATCTAAATCATTTTATGATTCTGTATCGATTTGTTACCACTCGAGATTACCTGTTGCAATCAAGTAACACCTACTTCCACTTCGGGACAGCAGCCCGGCAGCTCCCTATCCTACCATTCCTCCTGAGTGTTTGGCAGCTCATCCCTGCATGCCCACGGAATTGGTTTTTAACAGAGCAGTCCAGGGTGCACTTAATGTTCCCAGAGATGACAAGCAGCCTACTCTGAAAATGTGAATCCCAGCAGGGATTCTTCCTGCAAACTTTCTGTATGCACTCACTGCCATCTGTGCTGATTTAAACATATAGTGAGAAAGACTCTACACCACAAAATATTTCTTTAAAATCAATATAAAATGGGTAAGAAATTCTAATGTAGGTAAGGGCTGAGTTAGCTGACAAATGCTGACAGGTGAGAATCAAGTCATAGGAATGCAAATTTATGGACACATCACAAAACCTAAGGCTTTATGAAGTACAGGTCTGTTTTGTGTTGTATAGAGGCTGTATCATGGGAACCCTTTGCTTCAATGGACCAGACTTGTATCATTACCTTCATCCTGTGTCCCAGTGAAGCATAGCAAATTTCAAAATTCTTTTACTCCCATCATTCATCTGACTCTTTGCTTAGATTTAGACCATTTTTGCTCCTCTACAAGAAATGATACTGCCTTTTATAGTTACTCTGTTTCTTCACAACTGACTCTCCTCTCCCCCGAGAATTTTAGAAATATTTTCCCAGAATATAAATTAATTTTCTACCAAATATCTCCTTTTCACAAGCAATTATTTGGAAGGAGGAAATCATTCTGGTTTATAGATTTTTTTATAGTATTCTTGCAAAGTCTTCTCAAATGCTTAAGACCAGCTGTTCCGGACCCCTGCCTATTTCCAGGCCAACACACAGGGGGTTGTGGTTTTTTACTACTGAATATATGTGTGAGCATTACATGACACCATCAACACCCCACTTCTTCAGCTGGAAGGACCCATCCTCCTCCCTCTCTAAGATATTTTGCTATCTGTACTACTGGACCTGACTAAATGTTCTTGGTAGCAGCTGGATGGGCTGTCATTGCTGAACTGCATCGGCACGGAGGCCTCTTCTGTTTCTTACTCTGTTGCCACAGTGAACAGACTGGGGGTGCCAATCAGGGGAGCAGGTGACACCACTAAAGCAAAGACAGCAGTGCTCCGTGCTGGGTAACATCCTGCTCCTGGGCAGAGAAGGAAATTAGCCACCTTTTCTTGGGAACTGCCATACCCCTGGGGCGTGGACAGTGACTGCTTGAGCACTTGTTCTGGTTTCCTTCTCTCATATTTGCACATACTGAGCTATTCTTCACTTTGACCTACAAGTTTCCTCGCTTTTCCTTTTCTGTTTCTCCCCACACTGGGCGTGGGGCAGAAGTGAGCAAGTGGCATAGTGAGCAGGTTGCCCAGAGAGATGGTGGAGTCTCCCTGTTATTCAGGAACCGCCTGGAAGCAATCCCGAGCCATGTGCTCTAGGCTGACCCTGCCTGAGCAGGGATTTTGGCCCCGATGACCCACAGTGGCGCTTCCCAGCCTTTCCCGTCCCACGATCCGCACAGCCCGCCGGGGTCACGGCCTGTCGTGTCCGTGGTGCCCCCGATGCCCATGGTGCCCGTGGCGCCCATGGTGCCCCCGGTGTCCGTGATGCCCATGGTGCCCCCAGTGTCCATGGTGCCCGTGGCGCCCATGGTGCCCCCGGTGCCCGTGGCGCCCACGGTGCCCCCAGTGTCCATGGTGCCCCCGGTGCCCGTGATGCCCCCAGTGTCCATGGTGCCCATGGCGCCCGTGGTGCCCCCGGTGCCCATGCTACCCCTGTGTCCATGGTGCCCCCGGTGTCCCGGCCGCTCCCGCCCCGCGCCCGCACCGCGCGCGCCGCGCCTCGCGCCTCACGCGCGGCACAGGGACCCGCCCCGCCGGCACGTGCGGGAGGCGCTCGCGCCGCCTCGCGCGCCTATAACGGTCCCGCCGCTCCGGGGCCCCGCGGAGGCTCGGCCGCTGCTCCGCGGCCGCTGCCGCTCGCCCCTCGGGACCCGCTATGTCCCCCTTCCCTCCCTGTTTCCGGCAGCCGAGGGAGCAGGCAGCGGCCCCCCGGCGCGGGTAGACGTGGGGGGGGAAGGAAAGGAGGGACGGAGGGGGTCGACCCCGTACCCCCCCACACCCCCCCCCCTCGCCCCACACTGGGCGGGGCGGGGAGGGGCGGGGCGGGCGCCGCGTGACGCGGCGCGGCCGCAGCGCGCGCCCGCCCCCCGCCGGCCCCCCCTCCCTCCTGCCCGCCCCCCGCTCGCGCCCCCCCTCCCCTCCCCTCCCCTGCGGCGGCGGCGGGCGGCGGCCGCGGTGCATTGTGGGCAGCCCGTTGTTCATTTGCCACCCGACCCGATCCGGGGCCTGTCGGGACGGAAGCGCTGCCGCCGCCGAGCGATCGAGCGGGATCCATTGTGGGCAGCCCCGCGCCCGCCGCGATCCAGGCCGGACCCGGGGGAGCGGGGAGCGAGCGGCCGGACTTCGCTTCTCTCGGCCGCCGCCCCCGCACGGCAGCCGGGCGCCTCCTTCCCCCGCCCCGTTCCCGCGGCGGACGGAGCGCTCGGCCGGGCGGGGGGCGCGGGGCGCGCCCGCCATGTTCGCGGAGATAAACCGGCGGACGCTCGCGTTCCGCGGCGGCGGCCTCGTCACCTCCGCGGCGGCCGCCTCGGCGGCGGGGGCCGAGGCCTGGGAGCGGCAGGACCCCGAGGCGCTGAACGGGCGCGGGGCGGACGAGGAGGCGGAGCTGGAGGGGCTGGAGGCCGAGGAGCTGGAGGCCACCGCCGCCGAGGAGAAGGAGCTGCTGCTGCCCCAAGACGCGGCGTCGCCCCCCGCCGCCGCCGGTCCCATGTTCGCCGAGAGGAACCGCCGGACTCTGGCCTTCCGCGGCGGCGGGGGGCTTCTGGCCGCCCACCCCGCCGCCAACAATGGCTGCGAGGCCGCGGCCTGGCCGCGGAAGCACTTCAATGGGCGGGGGGCGGACGAGGAGATGGAGCTGGAGGGCGCGGAGGGACTGGAGACCGAGGGGCTGCTGGAGGGCAAGGAGCTGGTCCAGGACGGGGGTTCGCTGAGTGACAGCAGCGACGACGAGGAGGACGGCGAAGGGGGCAGCCTGGGCGACGGCAGCGGCGCCGAGGGCGGCAGCTGCAGCAGCAGCCGGCGGTCGGGGGGCGACGGCGGGGACGAGGCGGAGGGCAGCGGCGAGGGGGAGAGCATCCGGCACTTCCCGCTGGCCAGGCCCAAGTCCCTGCTGCAGAAGCTGCACATCTCCTTCCAGGGCTCCTGGCTCAAGGAGTTCCCGTGGCTCTACTACTGCCAGGAGACCGGCCTCATGTCGTGCGCCTGGTGCACCGCGGCCGTCGCCGCTGCTGCGCCCCCCGAGGTGATCATGTCCGGCGCGCCCCTGCCCGGGGGGCACGACGAGCTCTGCAAGGGCACCCGCAACTACAAGCGCACCCTGCTCCTGCGGCACCACCTCTCCGCCGAGCATCGCCTCAACGAGCCCGGTAGCGCCGAGCAGGTACGGCACGGGACGGGGAGGGGGCGGCGGGGAGGGAGGGAGGGAGGGGCAATCCCGGCCTCCCCTCTGCATAGGTGAGGTTTTCCTGTGCTCACGTGTGTGAACTTCTCTAAATGGCTGCTCGTGGTGGTTGCTGCCCGGCGGGCTGGCCACGCCGCGTTGCTCTCGCTCGCCGCGTCCGGAGCGGGGGACGAGCCCCCTCTGGGATTTGGGGTGACTCTCCCGCTGGATGTGGGCAGGCACACAAACGCAGCACGAACTGTTGTTTGTGGCTGTACTCCGTTCCCGTTATCCGTCCGGCCCTGGCGGGTGCCGCTTTCATTAGTTCGACTGTTTATCTCTTGAAGATAAACGGGCGATGTGGGAAAAAAGTTGCGTACGAATCCCAGTGTCACAGCACTGATTTAAATACGCTCGTTACAACTTCCTCCTGCGGTACAGGCGGAGGGCGGGCAGTGTCCGGCCAGCGACCGCTTGTGAAATGGGGACTCGGCGGCGTGAAATTGGAATCGCTCTGCCTGCTTAGCGGTGTGGCCCCGGTGCGCTAATCGGATAACTCCGTGTATTTAAGTTCTTCGCGCTGAAATCTTTTTTTTTTTTTCCGATTGCGTTGCCTTAGATTGCGTTGCTGAGCAAGAAGTCTGCAATCACTTGGTGTGTGTTTGAGATAAACATGTGGTTTCCTGAAAGCCGTGTTACTATGCCAGCGCTCCTCTAACGCTGTAGGAGTAGTGAAACTCTTCACGTTCCCCGCTGAACTTCAAATCGCTGTGTTTCTTGGCTGCTTTCACGAATGAGGCAGGGCTTGCCCTAGAATATATGTGGATGAAAAGCCCCTAAAGAATACTTGTGTTGAATCCGCAGCCTTCTTTCTGCAGCCTTTTCTCCTAGGGATGCCTGCGCTGCTAAAGTTCGCTCGATCGATTCGCTGGCGTTAAACTTGCCTGCGGGCATTAACTAAGTGTTGCTTCAGGTTAGGCTAGTCCTTGAATTGTTGGGCTGTTAGCCGGAATTAATTGATTAGTCACTCCGTTTTTCTGCATTTAGAATTCCGTTTTAATTGAAACCCCCACCTTGGCTGGGTAGCTTTATTTGGAGTCTGAAATGTAATGCGGTAGTTAGATTGAGGTTATTGCTTGAGCACTCTTAAGGAGCTCAGGGTACCTTGGACAAGAGCTGCTAGTCAAATGTTGGGGCAGGATATCAGGATTACAGGATGACTTATAAAACATTAGGTGAACGTTAAGGGAAACCTTATGGTGCACAAATACCAGTTATCCAAAATATTATTTTTTGGATTTACAAATGCAACATTCACCTTCAAGATGGTTAATACTACCTTTTCAGCGAGTGCAGTTTTATAGCAGCTACTGTTACAGATAGTGTGTGGTAGTAGGTCATCTTATCAGTTTTCTTCAGTCTTCTGGGGATTGCCACTCACTCTGCAGTGTTTTAGCCAAACTTGCTTTCAATTAGTTGCTTCTAATTAAGAGACTTATATTCTTAGTTTCTTTTACTTCTTCATATCTTTGCAAGTGTTCCAGTTTTGCATAAAGCTATTGCAGTGTGTTCCTTACTGTCTTGTTGCCTAGTTTCTAACTTTGAGTTGTGAATGATTACTTTGTAGAAATATGTTCTGTCTCCTGTGTTAGTGGATGCTGTTAATCCCTGCTACACTTGGAAGCTTCTCTCAGTCTGTTTTAGCTGTATTTAAATAAAAGCTATTCCAAGCATTTTTTTCTCTACTCAAATAACTACTTTTTTTCTTTCTGTCCTCTTACCCTGACTCTGTTGCAAAACTGTGAAATACTGGGAGGGTGGAAGGGAGCACAGAATATTGGCTTGTTATCACAGTAACCTACAAGTTAATGTAAGTATGTATTTGATGATTGTAAGTGTTTATTTGAAGACCTTTCATTGCCATGGGAATATTTGTAAAAATGAATCTCTGCTTTTATACCACTGATAGTTTAAGAAAAAAAATATTTGGACTAACTGTGATAATAAATGAAACAGTAGGATAGATGAGTCAGTGGTTCCTCTGCACTGTACAAAAGATAAGGTTGGGACAAAGGTAGCTGTAAAGAGATTTTTTTTTTAGTGGAAAACAGTGCTTTGTGCATCCTTCTGCAGTTGCATTTCAGTTAAAAACTTCTCACAAGGGAAGGAATTGCAGTTTTTCAGGAGTCAGTGTAGTTTTCTTTGTGGCACACTTTCACATTACAGTTGCTTTATCAAAAACCTGATTAAGAATCTCTGTTTTCTTTCCCTTCTATGTTTAATTTCCGTATCCTTTCATAGACTTAATGGCACTTGAATTTCTTTTGATACATATGTTTAAATTAATACCAAAACAATAGCCCCATTTTTTTCCTAAATGCCATGATACCAGATACTTGGAACAAACGTAGGTAATTTGTACCCTGACCGTATTTCCAACATACATAATGAGGCAGCAAAGCCGTTTAGATTTAATGAAACTTGGGAGAGATCTTTCAGCCTTTGTGTTAGAGACAGCACACATGTATTATGGACTTGACAAGCCTCAACTGCAGGGCATGTTTAGCAGCTGCTAATAAACATATGGCATAGTGCCACCACTCAAGAGCAGAAAGGAAATTGTAGGTGTTAAGACAGTAAAGCAGTGGAAATTTCTATAGGTCTGTTGGATATTACACTCATGAAGAAATGAGTGATGATTTCAGTTTATTTTTGGGATACATTTAATTTGGAATGCCAAAATACATCACAAGTGGTTGCAGCTGCTGTAATTCAAGGGTATTGAGCTGTCAACCAATGCTTCTTTCTAAGACCAAATTCTTGAATCTTTTTCTATTCTAGTTTTTAAAGTAATTTTTCTCCACATTAAAGCTTAAGGAAATCTGTCATCATCTTTAAACTACCTTTGTTTTTGTTGTGAACAGACTATTGTGTTGCAAGAATCTTAAGAAATGGATGCTTAGTGGGAAATTATGGCAAAATATTTTAATTCTTTGATGAATTTGGGTCCATAAGATGCAGATTTATTGGCTGCTGGGGATTCCTCTCCTCAAACCAACTTCTTAAAACATTTTCTTTCTGGACGTAATTTAAAGCTAAGCCTTGGAAATACTGCCAGAAAAGCTTTCTCCAGTCTAACAGGCATGTTGGTTTAAAGCAGAAGCTCTCCAAAAGGAAGAAGGCCTTTGATGTGTTATTTTTTCCATGTGAACTGGAATTGTTTGCATTATGTGAGCAGTGATGAATGGAAGTCATGCTTCAGATGTTAGAGTTACATTACAGTGTTCTAAGTTCACTTCTTGACTTACTCTTAGCAGAGTGAAGAAGTTGAGGAGGAAGTCAGGACTTAGAGTAAACACTATTACTTAGTGTGCTTTTATTTAATGTTTTTATCAAACCTCAAACTACTCAGTTTGATATTAGGCAATTAATGAAATAATTTGAAATTGCTGAGTTGTCTGTGAGTGGTGCTGTGTGGCAGTGGAGCATTGTGTGCAACTGATGGGACCGTGTTTTGAGATCATTTTCCTCTGCATGTGGTTAAGAAGCTACTGATAGCTTAGAAGATACATTTACCAGAGTAAGGATTAACTTGGGGGCACAGGGAACTGCTGTAGAGCAAGATGTGGTAGTGGGGAAGGGATTAAAAAATGTGGCGTAATTACTTTTCATATGCATGTAGCTGAGATGTGATCTGTGGTTAGGTTGGTTTGGGTTTTTCTTAATTCTTCCTGCCCTCACTGTCCCTCCTTCCAGGGACAGAGTGTGCTGATGGAACAGTAGGAAAAAGAAAACTAAACAAACTAAACTTCTAGGTGCAATTTTTGATCATCTGTTTCTGCCCCTGTTAGCTTTTGGGCAAGTTTAATTAATGAATTATATATATAACATAGTAATTTATCTTTGTGTGTATTCTTTTGAAACTGAGCACAATATTAGTTTCCTTAAGCAGTCTCTGTTCTGTTGCAGCACTTCTTAATCTCACCCACAGAGAGACGTTTTTGACTTAGAGCACTGAAGAGTCCATAAATTGAAATGAAGTTGTGCTGATTTTTATCTTTTATTCCTTACTAGTGTTTATTAAAGGGTGAGGTGGTTTGGTGTTGGGGTAACTTAGTTGATGAGAATATGGGATCTGTATTCTGAAAATATAGTTGATATCTAAGCAAATATCATTAGTTTGTTGTTCTCATTAGAAAAAATAGAACCCATATGATAATGTGTCATGTAAGTTACAGAAGTTTGAAAATACACTTTTTCCTGTAATTATTTTCTGCATCTTGCCTCCCGTTGAACTGTATTCTATTTTTTCTGTATCAATGTCTAAATCTCTCATCGTAATATTATTTTGTTAATTTTTCTCATAATAAATATCAGTTCTACTTGTCATACTTGGTGTACATAGACTTGATAACTGCTCAGATGTCAGGACTTCATTTGAGTTGTGGCACTAGGGTTAACTGTTGTACCATACCAGCAGTAAAATGGTTGGTTTTAGTACTGCAGTTAGTTTTAGAAATGTTTATGCACCCACTTCTGTAAAGCTATAATACTAATTAAAGCTGTAATACTGATTGATCTCTTTCTCCAACACACACCCCTAATAGCTTGGACACAGGTTGCATAATATCTCATTTTTCCACTCAACCTTCTGGTCTTGCCACAATGAAGATTTCAGTCTTGTGTTTCTGTAGCACATTTGTGATCTGCAGCTGCTCTTCACTATGCTGGCTTGTCCTGTTCTCAGGAAACAAAAACCCCACATTGTAAATATCTATTTTTTTTTGTCCCAGCTTGATTGGATACTTATACTTGCTTAGTTAAAATGTACTCTCTCTCCATTATTTAATCAGACGTTTGTCAAAAGAAAAGAATTGCTGCAGGTTGTTTTTTAAATTTTATGTGGTGTTTAATGTGTTCTCGGAGAATGAAATTGGCAGCTATCATAGCATCTACCTAACATTTACTGTGTGAGGTGCAAGTCACTGGTGATTGACGAGCATGACAACACTTCAGGGTACTGTCATTTTCATCTTAATCTGATCCAGTGTCAGTGTAATTGGTGTTTTGAAACTGTGCAGTGCTCCATTGCTAAAGTGACAGGAAGCTAGTCTAGAACCAAAATCTGCTGAGAGCTTGGAGTGACAGCCTTAGCTGTCCCACATCTGGAGCAAACTGTTTCACAGCCTTGGTCCAAGGTAGTACTTGGGGTGTGTCACAAAGTATAGAAAAAAATTAAGATTAGGTGGGCAAAGATCTACTGCTTGTTTTTGTGTAAAACCCTAATTGCTTTTATTCCTTCCTCTTTAATGAAGTGTTTTTCTGAGAAGAGTAGGGATTCAGAAGCAACTTGAATGTGAAGCAAACTGAAATTTCTCTGCAGGAGATGCTGAAATGGCACAGTTTCTGTTTTGGTTATAGCAGACCTTATTTGCTGCTTATGTATGTAAACACCGTTTTAGATGTAGTTACAGCCTCAGTTGTCATTCCAGAGATCCACACTGGGATTATAAATTGAGATGAGTACTGATTTAATCCACTAAGGTCTATGGGGTGGAAAGTGACTTTTAAAATATATGTAGCTGGTTTCTGCTATAGTCCCAAATTTGGAGTAGTACTGTCCTGTAATGTGTATTTTAACTCCAGCATAGCTTATGGGCTCATGACAGTGCTAACATTTCCTTCTTAATACTGATTTTGACCTGTAATGTTGAGGCAGGTGAGCTTTAACACCATCCCTAGCTTGCTAATCAGTGGGGTGTTTTAGGAGCTGAGAGAAGAAAATAATGATTTGGCTTGGAACTATCCAGTTTTGGGCTTTCCTTGTTTGCTAGGAAAGAAGAGAGAATCTTGGAGATAGAGTATGAAACAGACTGTCATTGTTGCTGCTCTTCATGGCAGCATATGTCAACATATAAGTATGGTCTCAAATATGCCAGTCTGTGTTTTCTGCTTTCTCCTAGCTGCTGCTTTGTAGCATCTCTGAATCATCTTTAACTTGAGTTAGAAGTCTTCTATGTGCTCTAAAATCCAGTTCAGATCTCTTGATCTCTCCCTGTCCTCATCTTTAATAATGAATTATGTCTTGGTGTTGGATTTTGTGAAAATATCAGGTTTTAGCAAAATTTTGAAGCCTTTTTTGAGATCACATCTTAAAAAGGCTGTGTGTGTGTAATAAGTATTGTTCCAGTGTTGCCACTGGAAAGTTTGGGAGGCTTATTTCAAGAAAGTCTGAGGCAAGTATTGTAATGGAAGCTTAAGTTGGGAGTTTTTTTGTCATCTGCAGTATTTTGTCTGCTTGTCATGTGATACACTGTTTAATCCTAAACCTGCTGCAATTAAAAAACAAAGGATAAATACTTTATTTGTAAGAAATACATTTGCTGTTATATCTCCTTTAGCAATATGTTTTCTTTAAAACATTCAAGACAGATTAGGACATACAGGCCTAATCTGTGTCTGTTCATATCTCAGCATGAAGAAAATGTTGAATCACTTATCCAGATTCTGCTTAATTGTTTAAGTGGAGATTTCTGGGGAAAGAACAAAGGATTGGATATGTAAGAATCATGTAGTTAAATCTTTGGAAAGAGAAGCTTCTGAATCTTTAGTATATGTGGGTTAGGAATAACAAGTACTTCACACTCAACTATATATTTCCTTACTTTTGGCTGAAATTTCCCTTCCTTTGCCCTCAAGGCAAATCTAGCTCTGTTTGTTTTAAACTTGGGGGTGGAAGGTGCAGAATGAGAGCATGATTTTTAGTTTTCAGAAATATCTTATTTATATATTCCTGTCTGCCTTTGTAAATAGCAAAAAATTAGTTTGATTAAAATAATCTTCTTATATTTATTTTCATATCATTATTTTCGTATTTAACTAAGGAGAGCATTTAGTAAGAGCTAATTATGTTTGTGTGGTTTTTTTAATTGCAGGAGGCAGAGTTACCATCAGAACTGAATAATGAAGGATACTGTGATTTTAACAGCAGGCCAAATGAGAACTCTTACTGCTATCAGCTCCTGCAAGAGCTCAACGAGCAGAGGAAGAAAGGCATTCTTTGTGATGTTAATATTGTGGTGAGTGGGAGGGTCTTCAGAGCTCACAAGAACATCCTGGTTGCAGGCAGCCGCTTCTTTAAGACTCTCTATTGCTTTACAAACAAGGAAAGCCGTAACCAAACCACTGTTACCTATTTAGACGTTGTTGCTGTTCAAGGTTTTTCTGTCATCTTGGACTTCTTGTATTCTGGTAACCTCGTGCTTACGAGCCAAAACGCCATTGAAGTGATGTCGGTGGCCAGCTACCTTCAGATGACGGAGGTTGTCCAGTCCTGCCGCAACTTCATTAAAGATGCCTTAAACATAAGTATAAAATCAGAAGCTCCAGAGACTGTTGTAGTGGATTACAACAGAAGATCTGTTAGTAGGGATGGTTTATCTCCAAGGGATCAAAAAGTTGCCAGCTTCTGGGCAACACGAAACCTCACCAACTTGGCAAGTAGCATAAAAACTGAGAACGATCCCTACCCTATTGATGAGGGCCAAATGGAAAGCTACCAAATGAATGACTGCAGTTGGGTCCAGGACAGCTCACCTGAAATGGCTGAAAATGAATCTCAAGGTGAGGGAAAAGTTTTTGTGTGGAATGACATGGGTGCACAGGGACAATCAGTTCAAGAACCTGGAAAAGCAAGAAGGAAAAACCAAACTGCAAAGAGATTTATTTATAATGTACCACCTAATACTGAAGAGAACTCTGAAGATTGCTCAGTGTTGCAACCGTCAGTCCCATATCCAGAAGAAGATTTGTCATTTATTAAAGAAGAAGCAGGTAAATATTGCTTAATGTCAATTATGTCATTTGAAAATTAACGTATTGACTGCAGTACCTGACTACATAACTTTTGGTTTTTTATTTTTTAAATTATTATGCTGTATGAATAGTTAATGTATGTATTTGAAGTACTGTCATTTGCCTGCCTCACTTTTTGGTGAATTAATAGTTTTGAAAACTTACTGCAATTTAGAAGCCAAGTTAGGGGTGAATTTGAGACACAGCTGGAACAAAGTTCTTTGGGTGTCTGTTGTTTCTAAAGCAGTTTAAAATGTATGCCTACTTCAAACATCAAGGAACTGTGGATGTCTCCTCCAGGGGCCCTGCTCTGCTCCTGCCCACAGACAAGCAGTGGTCCCCCAGGGGACACGTGGGGACACACGGTCGTGCTGTGTGGTGCCTGGGTACTGTGGTGACATGTGCCAGTGCAGAGCAGTGTGGGATGGGACTGGGGATGTGTATCTCCAGTACAAGAGACCTTCATGTGCTTAGTAGTGTGACACAACAGAGCAGCTCTGGAGAAGCAGCTGTGCTGAGGAATACATCTGCAAATGCTTCTTACTTATCTCTGGTCTTCATCTCTGAACTCTGGGTAGGTCTGCTTTAGCTTTACTGGAGAGTTGTGCTTGTGAAGTGAATTTCCTGTACTTCTCTTACTGGCTAAGCTTTGTTAGGCTGCACAGAATTCCTTCTGGCTGAGCTGAGGATAGAAGCTGTTTCAGGAATGTGACAGTCGTTAATATGCCTCAGGTCCACAGCACCAGGTTAGATCTAGCCCAAGTGAAGCTCTTTAGCTGCAGAGAGTGGGGCATGTTGAGGCCTCAGCACCCACACAACAATTCTGCCTGTGCTGGGCTGCACTACTCGCTCTAGTTGCTGTGCCACGAAAAAGAACAACAGAAAGTCTGAAGCAAGAGCTGAGGATGTGTGTATTAGCTGCGCAAATACAAAATTTCTGACACAAATTAGCATGTGATTTTTATTGATGATTTATAGGGGATTAATATTCAGTGTCTTTGACTGATGGAAATGCAGAGAATATGCATTTGATGGCACCAACAACAGATATAATTAGTTGTTTGGATTCTGTGAAATTGTGTATGTGTGCTATGAAGATTTCTTGGAGAAATAATGGAGGGCATGGGCAGTGCAGTATGTTTAGTCCTTGTTTTTTGTTGGGTTTTTTGTTTGTTTGTTTGTGGGTTTTTTGGTTGGCTGGTTGGTACTTTTTTTTTTTTTTTTGACAGAAGCACCAATGTTTCCAGTACCTTGTTATGCTAAATAATCGAATTACAAAATACATTCATGTAGCGTTTTGATGAAAAGAACTGTATTGGAGACAGATCATACTGAATATGTGTTGTGGTGTCAGTCCAAAATCATTGAAAGTTCTGTGACCACGGGGGGAAGTTTATTTTACTGAGTTCTAAAATACTAGTCAACTAGTGATCTCCTTGAGAGCACACCATATATGTTCCTAAGTACATAATTTCATTTTCTGTCAGTGTCAGAATTCTTTTGGAAACCTTATATAATATTTTTATAAAACATCTTCACTTTTACTAAGTTCTTGAATGCATACTGTTTGAAACAAGAGTGACTGAAGCAGGGCTTGGTATAACTTGCTTTTCACCCATAGACTGTTCTTCAGCCTTTGTTATTCTTTCTCTTCTGCTTGTGGCTCTTTTTCTTTACTTTGCAGGAAGATTCCACTCTTAAACACTCTTATTTTAACTGCTCCCTCTATGCCAAAGAAGAGGTGGAAGAGGGAGGAGTGCAGAATTGGAAGAATGTCAAGAATGAGTTGTAGAGTAACCTGCAGGTTACACAGTAACTTTTTAGTTTTGGATTAAATTTCCTGTGGGGATGAAAAACTACCAAAAATAATAGGCACTGAGAGGTAAAAAATCGAAAAGAAAATGTAATCTGGAATAGATATAAGACAATTCTATAAGAAGAAAAATAAAGAATAATAAATTCTTATATTCAGAGCTAAGGAGTGCGCTCTCCTGTTGGTTGCTGAAACGGAAACAACGAGCTTCTACTATTATGCTTTGTCATGTTCTGATGGGGGTAACACCAGTGGTTAGGAACCATCAGTTACATGCAGGGGGAGTTTCTGTGCCCTTGATATTGGGTTTGGGTTGGTCTGGTGCTTTTATGATGATACTGTAGATATGGTAGAAGAGAAGCCTACTTAAGATCACTCCTCTCACTCCAGAGATTTATCCCTGAAGCCACTTCCTTGAATTCTATAGTAAATGAATTTTCCAGTTGGGTACAGTTGGTAAGTATTAGATAGTAAAGAGTAAAAGCTTTCTGAAGCATCTGCTACCCCTCTTGTTCCAGTAAAGCAAATATGTTAAACTGCTCCTTGCTGAACATGAGTTTTTCTACTCATATCCAATCAGGCTATGTCAGCTGCTTCTTCCTCTCACCCTGTGTTGCTCATGCCTTGTGAAGGCTGATGTAGAATAGAGGCTAGATGGAGTTAAAGAATAAAGTAGGTATTTATTAAAAAGCCTCAATGGATACACCTTGAGCAGCACAAGACCTCAGCCATGGCTACACCCAAGATGGCCACAAAATGGACGACTGGCCATGGGGTCTCACACTCTTATAAGTTCAGATCCATTTGCATATTGGAGTTAATTTTCCTGTTATAGCTTTAGGTTATGAAGTCTCATTCTTCTTGTTTTTCTGTCTTCAGTAGACCATTGTTTATGCTCTTGGGCCTGAAACTTAGATCATTTGTCCTTGGTCCCCAGCTAGAGAAAGAATTGATTTGTCTACCTGCTCTGTGAAGAGAGCTTACCATCCCCTAATATGAAGCTCAGAACTACACACTAAAGCAGTACAGAATATGAAAAATATGAAAGCTAAAACCCGAGGCATCATTGCCAGTGAGTTTAACACCATCCCTGTACAAGTATCACGTTGGTGAGCTTTAGAGAAGCTTTAAAAATTTAAGATAGATTTCAAATTTCTTGTACTGTCTTAGATTTACTTATATTTTACTTATGTTTTCAAGACTTCTCCAATTTAGCTATACTAATTAAAGTAGCTGTTTTAGTTAAACATGGAATGTTACCACTTATCTCAGTATTTTCTCTCCTACTTGATAATCTGCTAAAAAGGTCTTTTACTGTTTACAGCCATCATTCATCCTACAATTAACCATTTACCATAGTGAAAATAACCAAGCAGACAACATATTACAGTCAGTGTTAGAGTGTGTTACAAAAGCTCAGTGAACGTAATTCATCATATGCTTAATGTCTCTTCATGGGGTGATTTTGACAATTTTCATCACTTCTTGGGTATGCCTTTCATCTGGGTGTGGTGTTTTTGTTTTTGTTTTTTTTTTTGTAAAGTGTCCTATCCTCAGACTTCAGAACACAGCTGTGAAGTGTTGCTTATGCTTTCTGGAACAGACTGTGTTGATTTTTAAGAGACTTGCATGCAAGAGCCCAGTAGCTTTATGAAGCTCCAAGTGTGTAATTTGTTATTGTGATTTTCAGGCTAGGTTATGCTGTACTCTAATGGGGGTGAGGGAAAGGATAACAAGGGCAGGATTAAAGCAGTCCACGGTGGAACGAGAGGGTTCCTAACTGATTTTGTAGGGGTTCTTAAGGAATTAATTCAGCTTGCTGTAGAAACAGCTACTTTTCAGAAGGATACAAACAGCAGCTAAACCTGCTTACAAAAAATGTAGTGCTGGTCCTAGTGTTTGTCATGATGCAGGGGAGGAGCATAACACAACTTGATTAGGCTTTACAATAAAGCAGGTATCTTTGTATTTGAAGAAATCAAGATTGACGGACTTATCAGGACATGTGTATATTTCTTGTAGGGATAAACCCCACTTGACTGACTGTGTTACAAAAGAAAAAATAATTTTATATTTTTCCTACTTTTTCAGGGTACTCTAACTCTGTCATATTTTTTTTGGACCTTAAGCTGATACATCAATTAAAAGATTTAAGTTCCTTGATGGACCTTTAACCACTTTATTTGCCCCATTCCCTATGTAATCCAGTATTGAACGTGTCAAAGGTTTTTAGAAGTCATCTGAAAACACTGCAATATCTGAGGGTCAATCTCTTCCCCAGTCATTCAATTTACCTCTCCCAGGGATCATCCCAAAGACAAGCAGATTGCCTCCTCACATTCTTACAGTATGGTCTGTCCCTGAGCCTACAATTCCAGGCAGTGTTTTGTGGTTTGGTTTGTTTTTTGGTTTTTTGGGGTGTTTTTTTGGTCTGTTTTTGGGGTTTTTTTGTTTGTTTGGTTTTTTTTGTGAATGGGTTGGGGAAGAAGGTTTTGTGGTGTCTACGGATCATCTCTGCCTGAAAGTCCCTTTGAGTCCCAGTGTAAAGCACTAACTTACTAAAAAGGATCCATGAGAACATTTAACTCCCCCACAAATAAATGGTCTGCATGAGGAAAGTTCTTTACTTTCTTGTGTTTCATTGGTGTAGTTGTTGGAGGAGATCAGTAAAATAGCTTTCACTTTCTTGGGAAGGAATTTTTCAGGGAAGGTATGATAATCAAGTGGAAAAGCAAGTGCATAATATATTTGGTATCAGCTAGTGGTCTTCTCTCAGGGGTAGTTGATGCTAGATCTGACTACATAGTTACAGCAATATACCACATTTTCATGAATGAAAAATAGTAAAAATTTAGAGCAATTTGGAGCAATAGAGTATGAGTAAGATTGCATTGGCAAAATGTCTTAAGTATGTCTGAGCCCTCTCTTGCAAGGGGCAGCTGAGCAGTAATGTGCTTCTGAAGCATTTTCAGAAGAAGCAAGGTTCAAGATGTGAGGAATACCCTGGGAACAAAGGGAGCTCAAGATACTTTGTTTTCCCCACCTTCCTAGTAGGTCAGTCTTGGCAGTGCTGTTTCCTCTGTCATGTTACCTAACATAAGCAACAAATCCAGCTCTCTAATAGCAATCCAGATTGTATCAGTAGATTACCACTGCTTTCTTTGCAATCCTTGAAAGCTATGGCTTATCCTGTCTACTTTCTGTCTTTTTTAATTGATTAGATGAGCAGTCAGTGTCAAAAAAATACAGTGAAAAATAGTATTTATTTTTCTCTTATTTTGGCACTGTTTCCAATGCTAATATATGTAAAGAAAACAGAAGTTCACTACAAACATCTGTATCTAATGCAAAGTTTTGTATCTTTCCCTCAGTGCACCATATGTGTGTCCTTTTCTGTAATGCCCTGTTCAATGGCTTCTGTCACTGAACTTCTCATTGTTTCCCATATCATCACCTACTCAGTAATGTATCCTTTTCTGGCCCCCAAATCTGTATATTTCCTCATATAAATCAGAAAGAGTGAAATTTGTCAAACTAAGGGTGCTTCTGGCTTAGACATGTTCTCTCTTTCTGGTGGTGCATGCCTACCTCTTGCCTTCAAAACTGAAAATCATTGTATCTGGCTTCTGGTTATCCTTTTTCCTGAGAACAAATGCAGTAGAACATAAAATCCTTTCACAATGTTTTTGATAGCTTTTTTTTAGTGGTGTAAAAGCCACACAACCACTTTATTTTATTTCACACTGTCCTATCTCTTGTCAAATCAACATAATGTGAATTTTAGTGCTGATGGTTAATGAGCTTCTTTGTATTGTTGTATTTTTTATTTTTTGTTGTTGTCTGGCTTTGCTTGTTGTTGACTTCAATAAAAGATCACATTACTGATATCCTTTTATCCATGCAGGCTAGAAGAATGGGTAAATATTTGAGGTTAATTGGCATTTGGATTATTAACTTACACATCTTAGAAATCAACTAAAGTGTAAGAAGGTAACCTTAGATCAGAGAAAAGTTGTGATCAAGTGGCTTAGTCTGGGGAGACAGAATATTCTTGCTTCTAGTTAGCTTATTTTTTTTTCCTTCAAGGTCTGCCTTACCTGTCTATACTTCCCCCTTTGCACCCTATCCCCAGTCTGTCAGTATGACTGCATCCATAGTTGCTTTCAGCCTCCTATCAAGAGGCTATCACCTGGCTTTGAAGTGACCAGAACAGGTCAGATGGTAATTATGTCTAGTTTTGCAAGCAGGTTTCAGGGGGCAGTAGTAGCCTGGGTGAGAGGAGAAATGGGAGAAGATACTATGAGCCACAGGGGTCTGTAAATGTGTTACATTCTGGAAGCTTACTGGACTGTAGGATCTATATCCAGCTGGGGAAGGTGGAAGAGGCTGGGTATTGCACTTCCAGCTTCCAGTCTGTGTATAATTTAAGTCTGTCTTGTTTGGATGACCAATTAGACACTGAAGATGCCTTTTGCATGGTTTTGTTTTGAGCACATTAAATGTGTGCTTAATCTAGAAAGCAGGTTTTCTAGGTCAACGAATTATTCTAAGAATAAGCATTAGGTTTAATTATTATCTACTTAGTCATGTATACTGAAGCATGAAGCTTGTATCAGTGTGTAGCAACCTCTTATCGCTTGTGGTATCTGTGCTGGTGTTCTTTCATGTTATAGTGGGTCTTCTCTTCCAGTTGGAGTTTGAAAGATTTAGTACCTACACGGAGTGACAGCTCTTAAATTTATTTGGCTGTGCTGAGTCTTGTGCTAAGTTCTCAAATTATGCAGGGGTTTGAGATCCTAAGTTCCCTCAGACTTAAATATCAGCTGTGTACATAAATGTTCCTAGTGACATTTAGTTTGTATTCTCATAAATACAGAAGAATTGTCAAAGTGACAGTGTTAGATATAAAATGTGCTCACCTTGGTCCAACTCTTACCTATGGTCAGTCTTTGGTGTATGCTTATTCTGAAGGAAGCTATACAATAGTGCCTGTACACAGCATAACAGTACATCTGTGTGCAGTAAAGACTTGGGTCTGTGGATCTTACAGATATTCATCCTATAAGGGAGGGAAAAGTGATTAAAATACTTTGTTACTGACTGACCTTTCACTGTTCAGCTACAGTTCTAGTTCAGGGAGAAAAATCTATAATGAAAGGATCTAATACTTTAAACATTATAAAAGTAGGTTTGTTTTTTTGGTTTTTTTTTTTTCCTCTGCTAGATCCTGAAGCCTGCTGTAATTTGGAGGCTTTTAGCCTAAAGATCACAACACTGCTTCCTCTCTAATCCTTTCGTGTGTATTACAGAAGGAAGTCTTCCTCCTCACCTCAAAGGAATGTGTAGTTGGCATGTCTAGAGGGTATCTGTGTTCTATTCCTTGAGTTGTTGAGATGCCATTGCTGGACTCCATCACTCCAAATTAGTATAAGGAGTTCTTGCCTCTTTTGGACATAACAGAAGTTAGGTCAGTAATTAAAGTTAGAGTCAGTAATTTAAAAAAAATTCCTCACTGCTTTGTGTTTTTTAAGGGAGAGGGAGGTTTATTCCCTTCCCTCTTCTTCCTTTTATAGCAAAATAGGTAGTTAGATGAACTAAAATACTGCTATTTCTTGTCTGCATTCACTCAAGCCCTGCTTTTTAAAAGCTCTGTTAGAATGCCTAATTTGGCAGTCATGATCCAGCTTTGCTTGTTGTTTGCCATTGTCTAATGGATGAGATAGAATTATAAGCTTCCTACTTGTTGAGTGATATCCTTTTGAACTGTTGTCTTATGTTGCAGACCGAATCACTGCTGCCAGTGTTAATGCTGCCTAAGCAGTATATGAAACTACTGTATGTGTCTCATACTGTGAGGATTTGTAATCTGTACTTTTTTCCAGTAAAACTGCAGATTGGAAGTGTTTAAATATGCGGCTTGCCACTAGCTGCATGAAATTCTGGTTTAGCCTAAGAGAATTTCCTTTCCCAAAAAATCCTTAGAATGAATAGTATAAGGATAAAAAGAAGTCTTTGGGCTATTAAAATGTATAGTTTCAGGCTTGAAAGCAAAAATACTTCTCCTCAAGACTTTTCACAGTGGTGACATTGGGAATCCAGTGTGAGGATCCAACTACCATCTAGAGAAATAAAAGGAAATCTGCCAGTTACCACTGCAGTTTGTTTATTTAACAACTGTTTGCCTGTGAGGAAAGTAATGGATTTATGAGTTCATGATTTCCAACAAACTCCTGTCTTGGGGATTGGGGGAACATTGATTTGCACTATTGCCAGAAGAACTTTTGCCCAACAAATGTGATGTTGTCAAATTCTTAGTGCAGCTTTATTGTGTACTATTTATAGTTCTCTGTGCTCTGTAATAGTGACTCCATGTTCACTGATGCAGTTCTTACTTGTTACGAAGTATGGAAGTAAACAAGCTAAGATATTTTAAAGGCATTGTGCACTTCTGAATAGTTTTATTTTTTTAAAGCAGAAAAACGATACAAAGGCAACATAAACTGCAGAAGATCTTGTCTTAAGAGCAAATGTAAATATGCAAACTAGTCTTTTAAGCTGTTATATTCCAAGTAATTACATTCTCTTGAATTGATGTGGTTTTAGAGTAATGGAGATGATTATTCAGAAAAGGATTTAGACATAGCTGTAGGATCCTTTATATAAATAAAGATATTTAAAGCACTATATATATATATACACCATGAAGATATTTTAAGGCAATAAAAAAAACACCATGCCTCTAGTAGAAAATACTTAGTTTTGTACCAGCTAGACTACTGTGGCAGTCCAAGTGAAGTCACTGCACAAAGCAGTTCTGAAGAGAAAGGTTTTCTGATGGAAAACCTTTCAGCCCCCTCATGATGGTAGTGAGGGAGTACATATCCTTACCATCAAAGTCCCTGTAGTAGGAAAAAGGCTTTCAACTTTTCTCAGGATGGGGAGAAGAAATGGTGCTGGGGAGAGTAGTTCAGGGGTCTCATTTCATTGAAGTTGAGAATACAGTTATTTCTTGTTTTAGTATTGAATACTATGTGAAAACATGCTATAATTACTATTTTAAGGTTAGAAACGTTTTTGTCACAGTTTAAAAAGGATCTATATTGCAAAACAGATTAGATTGATGACTGATTAGAACCCAGGAAGCTAAAGAAAGAATGTGTCTTTAATAGCTACTTCAAGTGACTTCAAGTATGGACTGTTGCCGGGTACTTCAAATGACTTCAAGTACGGATTGCTGCCGGGTACTTCAAGTGACTTCAAGTATGGGCTGCTACCGGGTACTTCAAGTGATTTCAAGTATGGATTGCTGCCAGAATCTTGGCCAAAAGAAGCTTGGGAAAATGGTAAGTGTGTCTGATGGAGAGTAGGTAGAGGGTTAGGACATTATTTAATCAATCTTCTTCCATATCATTTGCCTTTCTGGATAGTATACTTCCTTGGAGGGAGGAAAAGGAATTCAAATGTATGGAAGAGTAAAACCAGAATGTGATTTATATCAGTTCTAGTATTGTGACTCAGTGTGAAGGTACCTAAGGTCTTTAATAACGTGATAGCTGCCCGTCCCTTTACTAAGCTAAATACAGATAAATGGCCTTTGAAATTGAAAACTTGGATGGTGAAGATATGGAAATAAATATAATTTTAAAGGAGATCTCAGCATATGTCTTGCTATTAAAAATAAGAAACTTTATTGCAATAAATGTTTTTAGTTCCGTGACGCTGTAATTAAGCCTTTTTCTGTCAGTTCAAGCAAGCAGTTATCTGTACTTATTTTTCTGTCTGAAAACATACTGAAAATACCACCATATCTAAAACAATAGTTGCTAGTTTCTTACAATATGTCAAGTCTTCAGTAAAAAGAAGATAGCAAGTACTGGGTAATAGTAATGCTTACCTCTTCTCTTTAACTGAGCAGTTACTGGGATGTGCCTTATGGTTTATTTTAAATATTTTGGGGTTTACAGTAGAAGAAATGTGGTCATGAGAAGGTGAAATTTGCTAGCAGTCAAGAAATTAGAAGTTGGGTCTTAGGAAGTCTGCCTGTTCTTAAACCAATAAATTCCCATATATTTTACAGCCCTGATGTCTGCCTGCATAGGATTTACTTTTCTTCATGCAAGCCATTATGTGATGTTATGTGAACATGCAGCTCACATGAGTGCTCCAGTATGCAAACTTGGAAGTTACATTTTGCTAATATTCACAAGTTTGGATGGATTTCAAAACTCAAAGGAGGCAACTCTAGAGACATGCCTGTGAGCATGTGCACATAATGTGCAATTAGTTATGTTTTCTTCTTGCCAGTGTGAACACTAGAAACTCTTGCACATAATCAGGTAGCCTTAGCCAGTGCTTTTTGGATGCTTCTAGATGGTTATGATGATGTTCATAAGTTCTCACCTGTAGTAAGCTGAGTCAGTATGTTATTATCAAAATAATCTTTGTATTTCTGTGTGGCCTTTTCTATGCCATAGAATCCCGTGGTGTTCTTTTTCACACAGTAATAGGCAACTGTATTAAACCTGTTTTGCATATATCCTTTGGGCAAACTATATAAAGAGCTCTCTTCCATCATAAGGAAGAAGTGAGATATTGCTTCTTCCAGAAGTTTTTTCTGCTCTTTTTATTTTTTCTGCTGTTAGATCAAAGTAGAAAAAAGGTAAAATCTGAACCAATAACTTCCTTTTTGAGAATTTCAGAATGTTGCTACCTCTTAGTGTCTTACTCCTCTTGTCAATATTCATTCTTACTTATACTTTTTTTCAAGTCAGATCTTGGTAGACAGTTCCTGCATGTAATTCTAAACAGAATATTGGAAGAGAAGATTGCAACTGTCTAAATGCTGCAGAGTTAGAGGGTTTATAATCCAGAAGAAAATGTTTTCTGGTATAAGTGACATCTAGGAAAATGAAATATTGGTAAATTATGGTTAACTTACTTCAATTCATGAAATAAGACTTCCATGGTAAAAATGACTTGTTTACAAGTAGGTATTTTTCTAGTAGAATTGCACATGCAGAACTTAGCAGCATTTTTGATTTCTGCAGACAGGCATTGTCCTGATTTCACTGATGAGAAGTCATGTATTTTGCTTTATTGTTTTGGCACCTGTTTATTTTTGTGCACCAGACAGAACAAATTTAGATTATTCTTTGCATGTTTCATCATCTTTTATCCTGATGCTTCTTATCTTTTAGGTGATTCCTCTGCTTTAATCATGAACAAGTTGAAGTGTCCACACTGTAATTATGTAGCCAAATACAGAAGAACACTAAAGAGACACTTGCTCATTCACACAGGAGTGAGATCTTTCAGTTGTGACATCTGTGGGAAGCTGTTTACACGAAGAGAGCATGTAAAGAGACATTCCTTGGTAGGTAATCTCAAGTGTTCATGTATATGTATGCACATGTATGAGTGGGGTTTTATGGGGTTTTTCAGGTGTTTTGGTAGTTGGAACAAACTGTTCTCTGATTTGACATAATGTAAATTGTCTTATCTTGATCTGAAATGGATGAAGATAAACATTTCTTGGATAACTGTGCCTCTCGTTTTCTTAATGGAAAATGCAGTGTCAACGAAGACAGTAATTTCAAGATTATTTTGAAAGTGATGTGATAAAGGGATGCAGTGTATATAAGTATTCTGTAGATAATGAAAAGCAGTTTTGGCTTAGCTTTACTGCAGTAGAACATCACATCTTGGTCTATAATGCTGCATCACTGTTTTCTGTCAGGGCACCCTGTTAATTCAGCAATTGCACAATATCTTGAGGTAGTTCTGAAATGTTTATTTCACAACTAGACAAAGCTATAGTACTGTATCTGCTTTAAGATTAGGAAAGAATGAAAAAGATTTGATGCAGAAAGTAAACATCTGTCTGACTTACATTCTGCCAGTACCACAACCAGGAGTTCAGCTTACCCTGTTCTGTGCACATTGCATAACTCGGGATTTGATTTGAGTACTCCTTTATCTGAGGATCCAGAAAAAGTTTTAACTGTCTTGGGTATTTTGTAGGTGCTTTGTATCTAGTCTATAATGAAATTAAGACTCCATTATAATATATACAATATAAAATCCAAGGGGTGTTTTTGGGCAGTAATAAAAGCAAGATCATGGTGGTGGTGAGAAAATAAGAACATTTTTCCAAGCTGTGATTTTAAAAATTCCCCTTATTTTGCAAGATGTTTTGTAGATGGCTAGAAAAGGTTAGTTAGCACATGAAGTGGGTAAATTGCACTTCTCCAAGGTGCTGCACCTGGGCTGGGGCAACTTTCAGTATCTATAGAGGCTGTTGGGTGAACACAGCGAGAGCAGCCCTGCTGGGAAGGATTGGGGGTGCTGGTGGGTGAGAAGTGGGACATGAGCCACCAGTGTGCTCTCTCATCCCAGACAGCCAAAGGTATCCTGGGCTGCATCCAAGGCAATGTGGACAGCAGGGTGAGGAAGGGCATTCTGCCCCTCATGAGACCCCACCTGGAGCACTGCATCCAGCTCTGGGGTCCCCAAAACAAGAAGGACATGGAGCTGTTGGAGCTACTCCAGGGGAGGGCTATGAAAATGATTGGAGGGATGAAGCATATCTCAGATGCAGAAAGGCTGAGAGAATTGGGGCATTATTGCCTCATTGATGGCCATGCTCCTTCCTTTGTGGCTCACCTGAGAAGATGGCAGCAGTGGGAGTTAGCTGGTCTGCCAAGAAGAGTAGAGTGGGACTTCAGTTTTCTGTCCTGCATTGTTTGACCAGGACTTGTAGCTGAAGATTTTTTTCCTCCAGGAAAGGAGATGAAGTTGGACAATGTGAAAACAGTTGTGGAGTGAGCTCAGTGCAGTTCTGTGCTTTAATTGAAGTGTTCTTTCTCTGACAAAGTCAGAACACTTTTTTTTTCTGGATGTTTTTCCCCCCTCCCTTCCCCTTTCAGCTCAACAAACCTCAAACATTCTGCCTTGTGTGAAGTATTATAACAAGTCTAGAGGCTGAGGAAAGCATACGTATCAGCTGTACAGACTATACAGCAGAGCTGAAGTAACTATTTGTATCATGACCTAATTTATTTTTCCCCTCATTTGGGTGGTAATTTCTTTTATCTAAAATTGCAACTTTTTGAATGGGACTTCAAATTAGATATTCAAGCACATAAATGTAATCTGTTGTGGGAACACCAGATAGAAGAAGGAAGTCTTCAACTTCATTTTTTCATAGATAATAACTAATATACATGGTTGCTGAATTCAGTTACTTGTACAAGCAACATACTTCCAAATTCAAAATCAAAATTTATGGTTAGTCAACAGCAGCCTTCTAATTTTACACACAGACTCAAATACAGGACAAAAAACTTACCTAAGCAACCTGGAAAGTTGATGTTAATTTTAATAGTGTTGGGAAGGAGAAGTCATGGAAGAAGAATTTTGCTCTTTGAATTCTTGAATATAATAACTCTTGCTTGTTCTTAATATTTCTAGAATTTAAAATTGTAAAAAGCAATTTTCTAAACAAACTATCTTGTGTGTGGTTGGAAGGGTTTGTGCTGCTCTCATTGCTTCTGAGTCTTGCTCTGTACCCTGAGGAGATGTGAACTGAACACTCGCCTGTGTACAGAACAGGCGACCTGCTGAGCTCCAACAAAGTGGTTTGTTTGTGGGCAGTAGCTCATATCTGTTGAGGAATACATAAATAGATCTTCAGTAATCCTTCCTTACTCTGAATAGTGTTTGGTATCTTTTGGAAAAGTTAAAAATAGGAATTTTTATATTAATAATTATTATTGTTGTTATTAATAGTTTTCTAGTACTATATGCAAATGTAAGTGATATGCCTATATTCAGCTGTTAAAATTTCTCTTCCATAGGTGCATAAAAAGGATAAAAAGTACAAGTGTATGGTGTGCAAGAAGATTTTCATGCTTGCAGCCAGCGTTGGAATAAGACATGGCTCACGACGTTACGGAGTTTGTGTAGACTGTGCAGATAAATCTCAGCCTGGAGGGCAGGAGGGAGCAGACCAGGTGCAGGACACAGATTTCCCTAGGGATGAAGAATACGAAGAGAATGAAGTGGGAGAAGGCGATGAGGAGCTGGGTGACGATGTAGAAGAGCAGAATGAGCAGTCTCGATGGGATGAAGGCGGGGAAGTCTGCATGCCTTTAGATGACTGACAGAGCACGAGACTTCAGGGCGCTGCAGATGGACACTGTACGGATTGACTGCTTGAATTCTTGAATACTGAAGGCTTGCGAAATATGGTACAGGCTGGATGGTAGTTATGTTGCTGTGAAAATGTAGGGTCAAAGCCTTATAGCAAAAAAAGGATTATTAATTTTTTTATGATATTTGCACAGGACTGTACAGCATACAACCGTTTGGTTGAATTATACAGAGTCCTCACATCTACAGTCAGTTATCAAAAGAAAAATGTATTTTTTATTATTTATAGGCTATAGCTACTTGGGTCCTATTCAGACATAGTAGTAACTGTAATTATGTTACACATTCATGTACCTGTTAACATGAATGAAGAAAATTTGCAATTTGGTATGGAAATACAAAGACAGCTTTCCCAAATCCACTCGTACTTTTGTCAGCGAGTCAGTGAAGCTAATTTGGGCTGGTGGCTCGTTTTCCACAAGCATGTCTTTGCCATACAAACCTTACCTCTCCTGTAATCTGATAGGTGAAAGCCAATCATTTAAATATGTGTCACAGATATTGCCAACACCATATTGAAATTTGGGTTGAAAACTTTTGGCTCTATGCTGGCAGGTGCTATGGGTGGTAAGCACTGGAGAAGTTTTTAATGGCATTAATTTAGTGTCTGTTTTTAAAGAAGGTTGCTGTTGATTCATCAGTTTTAAAACGATGATGCAGAAGAAATGACCAGTAATGAACTAATAGACTGATCAGAGCATGGGTAACTCTTGTGCCACTTAGTCAAAAGAGACAGTCATGCTAAAAGGTATCTGATGTAATAATGTTTCTTCTCTCTTCTAAGGCCCCCCTTCTCTCAAAATTTTTTTTGTTTCCCTGGTGTATACCTCAGTCCCACAGAATAAAAATGCAAGGAATGGAGAAAGTGTCATATTAAAACAACTTTTTGGTCAATAATTTCTTACTTGTCCGTTTTTTGGCTAGTTTATGTGATATGAATTGGACACTAGGCTATTGTGCCCATCGTTCATCATTGAACACAAACTATTTTTTATTCTTTTGTACTTCATGGGTTGTTGTTAGTATTTAATATAAACAAACTACATTTAACTTGCTCATTTGCTGGAATTTTTTTTAAGAAAAACAAGAAGTCCAAAGGAAAAAATGCTCTTTGAGTTACCTACTTTTCAGGAGGATATGCTCCCTATGCTCTTTGTTTCAGATTTTCTAGGAGGCATTGAAACTTGAATTTTTGTAGCCACGTGGGGTTTTTTTTGTGGTTTTTTTTTCTTTTTTTTTTGTTTTGTTTTGGTTTTTTTTGGTTTTGTTTTTTTTTTTTTTTCCTAAGCTTGTAATATTGTACCAATGATTTCAGGCCCCTTTCATAGGGAGGGGAGGGCATTACACCTTCACCTTAAACTCCTCTGTGTTGTCTAGCCTAAGGCAAGTTAATTCAGGCAATCATTGGAACAATAAGTCTGATGTACTATTATGTCACAGTGAGTAAATATGCAGAGCATTTGTCATGACACGTAGCTAGGCCAGTGTGACAGTACTGTATAAAAAACTATTGAGGGTCACCATATTTTTCAACTTTGTTTAATTTTAAAATGAGTATATTTTTTCCTATTTTATGTCAGGTAACTAAATTATGGTAGTTGTGTGCATAATTTGAATTATGCTTTGATGGACAAAATCTTACTGGTGCTCCATCTGATCAAAGTTGGTATGTATTTAAAGAGACAAGCTTTACTGTTGTCCATAGAACAGTAACATAATGTTAAGACATTGGTTTTGCTGATGGAAACTGAGATGATAAGTTTGAACTACAGTTATATGGGAATTAAAATGCTTTTTTTTATCATCCACTTGTTTCATTGGTAGTTTCCACATCATTGTAATCCTGACATGAATAGTTTTTTGGGGAGGGTGGGAAGGGCAGGGTACCTTTTTTACACTGAAGATTACATTTTATTCTCATTGTTCTAGACTGAAATGAGTAATGTGTAATTCTGGTGGGGTCCAAAGTAGAAATTAGTTGGGCAAAGATGATATGAATGAAAAAGTATTTTAAACGTTAAAGTAATGTTCTGCTTTGTGAATATGTAAGTATAGCATAAAGATTTTTCCATCCCATTTATCCCTTTTAAAACCATAGTTTACAATTGGTAGATCTGTCTATATATATAAATATATATATATCTGAAATTCACCTAAATCTGCTTTATTAGAATACTGCTCACTTAATGCTTAGAAACTGGACCTGGCTCTACATTCTTAATGTATTTTCCTTTTTTTTTCCCTTTTGTTTTGTTGGGATTTTTTCTTCAAGGTATGAACTTATTCTCTTGGAACTGAATCTTCTTTTACTACTTAAATCATTTATGTATATCTGGTAAATTATGACCAAATTTGTTGTTAGACTGCATTACAGTAAATTGAAATATACACTTGGTACACTACAGAATTGTTGTGCTTTTGTTCTGGTTCTGTTTGGAAAAGCAGGCCTTAGTAAACATTTGTGTTATTTATAATATAATTATTCAGTTATTATTCAATGGCCTTAATATTCTGTTGCATTGTGACAATCATAATTTCCTTGGTAAAGCTTAACTGCTTGCTTTTACAAGTTGCATGTAATTGCCCATTGTAGGTTGGAGAGAGAGGGTGATTGTCTCTAGCAAATGGTGTGAAATACTTCAGTGAAGGTCCACTGTTCTTGTCTTGGAGAACCATAGGAATTCAGGTGCTATCTCCAGTCTGGCTTTTCTGAGTTGTTTTATTTAGAAGTTATTTTAAATATGTTAGCTTGATTTGGTATAGTTCTAAATTAATAAAAAAAAACTTCTGAAGAATTAGTTCTTGAGAGACAGATCAAGTTTCTTCACTATTATAAGAATTAGGAATAGATTTCTCTTTGTGCAAGAAATTCTTTCCCTCAAGAAATGCTGAAGTTGTGCTGTAGTAACACAGTAATGGATTTTGTCTGTTTTGAGATTTTTTTCCATTTTAAAATAAGACTGATGCCCTTAAAATGTCATATTTATCAAATGAAAAGATATTCAGTCTTTCATTTTGTCTTCTGATGAAATAATTCTCAACCCAAATGTCTGCAATTTGTGTATTTGGGCAATGCCACACAAGTAGTTTTATAAAAAGAATAATGTCTGTTATTAAAACAAACAAAGTTTGTCTGATGTTGGGATTCCCCCTTTCTGTGAGGGTTTTTGTTTGCTTTCTGCTCTCTTCAAGCAGTAGTGGGCATCTTTTAGAGATAATCATACAGAGCAGTTTCTGGCAGGGCACTGTGATGCAGGACAAAACTTTAATTAGTAAGTAAATTCACTTTAGATTCACAAGTAGAAGTTCTGGTCAAAGTAGGTCAAATGATGTAAGGAAGACACACAACATAAAATGTGTTTGCCTTTTGTCAGTGTTACTGTAGTGCATTAGAAAGCATTTTCCAATTGCAATGACAGATGCATCTTGCAGGGAAAGTGGCGTTTTCCAATTACTTTGACAAATTTTGTGGTTCAGCTTCCAAACAATCCTCTAGTAAAGTCATCTCTGCTGTGAAACCAGTTTTGAAAACCAGAAGTTGTATTTACTTGTCAGCATGCATCCTGAGAAGTATGAGTTGCAGTTACTTGTTCCCATAGTGCACACCTGGTTTTTGAGATGTGTAGCTTTCTGCAAATGCAGTTTTCAGGTATCAATACATGTCACTACTTTCTCCTGACAAGAATAAGCATTATCAAGTGAAGAAACGTTGGGGCCAGGACACTGGCATGAGGTATGCTGCTAGTTGTGGGTCACAGCAGTAATGCTGTTAGCAGAAGATGCTTTCCTTCCTAGCTTTAAGTTGGTAAGGCTTTTAATAGGATTTGCTTTAATGAGGCCAATCTCAGTTGTTAGCTTGCTTTTAATTTGTGTTTCACTTGATTTTTCTTGCTCTTGCCACCCAGTAACACAAGTCTCCCACCGCTTCCAAAATACTTTTGTAGTCTGCTGATTCCACATAGATGCAAAATTCACTTTTGGAAGTACTGTACCTTGTTTGCTGTTCCTTTTCTACTTTGTTGTATTTAAATGGCTTTAGAAACGGAAATGAAAGCAAGACAATTGACACCACCACCAGCCCGAAAAACTTGTGCCAAAAGAAAAAAAGGAGCAAAATGTGGAGTGCAATGTGATAAGAAAAAGGCTGTTTTGAGTTTGCATTGTTACAACTCCTCTGGTTTGTTACTTGAATGTTTTTGACAATTCACTGTACTTTTCTCTAGCACTAGTTGGTGACCACCTTCTGATGAAGCTATGCAAGAAGCCCAGTTTTGAGTTTATTCAGTGTCTTCAGAATGTGGTTCAGGCTCTGCAGAGGTAGTAGCACTGAGTAGCTTTCTGTAGATATTTTACTGTAGATCCTTCTGTTAGCATCCCTCCTCACTGTGTGATCTGTTACCCAATTTTTATTTGATCAATGTTTGCTCCTTTGCCTTTTATACGTTTTAATAGCACATTACTGTGCATTGCTGAACAGTATGGTAAAGGTTAAATATTGACACAATGGATTAAGAGAAGTAAGTTGGTTTTCACTTAGGATCTTTTAACAACCCTATAATAAAATAATTCCTATGTAATGATGAAAATACAGGTTTGAAATCCAGGGGAAGGGGTGTTGCTGAGCAGAACCCTTTAACATTAAAGATTCCATGTATAATTCATGGGTTGTAAAAATAATTTTATGTGGGAAAAAACTTAAAACTACACTAGAAAGATCATTAAACTTGAAAATAAAATTGGCTTACAAGTACTTTGTATTTGACATTATTGCAATTTGAAGTGAATGTTTTAAATAAGCTATAAATGTTTCTTACCTGAATCAATTGGGTTAGCCACTTCAGGATACAGATAAAAGTAACTTCTCACTAACATTTTGGTGTGTAAACATAACTTCAAGACTTCTAATACTCTGTGCACCAGTCTTTAAGTTACCATGCTGCAAATAAATTGAAGAAATAACCATTTTGTTCTATTTTTCTGTGCCTTGCCTCTTCACCCTCCACAAGCAGATGAAGAGAGATTTCTTTGGGGTTTTTAGTATTAAATGTTAACACTTAGCCATCCAACAACTTGCTGAAAATAATTTCTGCTTCTGACATAGAATAGAATTTGTAGAAAATAGCTGTTATTTTAAGCTGTATTTTTAAACTTCTCTCATAATAAGGCAGGTTTAGACATACATTATTATGCCACCTTAAAGATGACTAGTTTCCAACAAGCAGAATTTAGATAAGGTGGTTATACCTAAAACTGGAGTTCAGACAAACTACTGCAAAGCTGAGCAGGTCACAGCGGGGGTACTTGAGCCCCAGGGTAGTGCATAGCAGAAGGTTTGGATCCCCTCAGAAATGCTGCAGTACTGGCTGTGCTCAGAGGCTTTCTCCTGCTGTTTCCTCCCTCCAGCTCCACCAACCTAAGAATTTTGGAGCAAGTGGTTTCAGCTGGATTTATCAAAAGCTTCTTGTCTGAACA